GGACAGAGATAGGCTATTCTGGGAAGCATGTTTATCATAATCGTAATTCCTAACTCTCAATACTTAATTTCTTCAAGTTAGTATTCAATCTTAATGTTATCTCATAATGTTTTAGTATGATGAATATGGTACGAGAATTTGTTTAGATCGATTATCCGGCCAAAATTGATGGTCTGTTCTTTCTTCATTTGATCTTCATATATGTATCATCATATCATCATCACAATGCACAAGTGTAAATAAATTACATTAAGGTGCCATAATAATTCTGATTTTATAGTACTTGCTCCTCAAAACAAATATTATATATATTATTTAGATATGGTTGTCGTGGCCCGTGGGCTCGTGGGCTTCGATGTTTAGATATGGTTGACTGGTTCCATGGACCCAACCGATCTAGAACCACAAATTATGCAATGCTGGTGCAAACAGTTACAAAACAGTGTCGTTTTGATTAAAAACGACGCCATTTCACATTTAAAAAAGAAAAATCATTTTTGATTGTCATTAACGGTGTTATGTTATGCATGATTTAAACTATATATCCACATCGGTTACTGGTACTCTGTTTTGGCTCATGATAATTCACTGCGTTTGTGTATTCAGAATGAATGAACTATATATTCAAAATTAATGAACTATAAATTCATAATTAGTGAACTATATATCCAGAATTAATGAACTATATATCCACAATTAGTGAACTATATATGCATAATTAGTGAAATATATATTCACACCGGTTACTAGTACTCTGTTTTAGCTTATGACAGGTTGGAGTTTAAAAAAAAATTGATTGGTGGAATTAAACGGTGCCACTAACGGCACCGTTACTCCACCATATTGAAACGGCGTCGTATGCAACTATGTGCACCAAGGTACATTTTTTGAAAATACATTTTTAATATACTAGGGTACATTATTTTATATAAAATACATTCAGAACAAAAATAATATACCTTCAGTAAAAAAAAATAATACACTTTTAATATATTAAAAATTAAAATTATACTTGATATTCATGATCCACATAATTGTGTGGACAATAATTTGCCATCTAGAGCAGTAAATTATTGCGGTCCACATAGCTGTGGGATACTATTTATTCTTAACACTTCATAAGGATATGCTCAGATTTGTTCATGCACTCGCACTAGGGACAATCATCCATCTGAACAAGATGTCTTTTGTGACGTTCAGCATTACGAAGGCGTGGAAACCAAGGTAAAAGGTAGGAAGTAATTCACGTGTACTAAATGGAGAACGGAGAAAAAAAGTGAAAAGAAGAAAAAAAAAAACAAAAGAGAAAAATGAAATAAATTTAAAAGAACTAAAATACCTTTTTAATGCATGATTGCGATGTATACCAACGTCCCGGAACGACGTTCTTTTGTGTGTGGAAGTCAGAAAGAGTGTTGTTATTATAGTTTAACGTATAAACATAATTTTTATTTTATCCTTACACTATTTATTTGTTTTTTTTTTGGATGTATTGAAAAGTAATTTTACAATATTATTTTCATGAATTTGTGATTAGCCTCTATATTCCCAATCCTCAACTTCATTTTTCTAAGAAATGTGATATTTTAAAAGTGCAAATTTTACTGTTAATCTTTAATTATTGTGGTATGATTACTTTTAATCAATAGTTGTACTTTAAAAACAATGTCACATGTATAGCATAACATCCTTGATTTTTATTTTTGTCACAATAATTCAACTAGAAGAGTTTACAAGAGAATGAAAGAAATTGCATGTTAGGGCAAGAGACTTGAATGATAATATTACATGTTTTAATTTGTGTGCGATAATATTACCATGAAACAGCTTATCCTTGTCCAAACTGTATCCGGTTGGTTTATAGCCTCGATTTAAAATATATTATGTTAATAATACATCAATTAAGATTTTTACATTTGTGTAATATAATATCTTTAATTAATTACGAGAGAGGCTATAATCATGGTATGGGTGAAGCTCACCTTTTGACTCTAAAATTATAAGGCTAATCAACTCAAACTAAGGAAGTTAATAAAGTCTTTTATATTAATGGAGGGAAGCAATTTTAGATTATAACGTTTTATTAAACATTGAATATTTTCATTTTAAACATTAATCATTCAATTCAAAAAATATAATTATAGGGTTTGAAAGGAAAAAAAAAATAATAATAATAAGAGAAAGAGTAAAACGTTGAATCTACATCAATCAATTTTTTTTTTTTTTTTTTTTTTGAGAAATCTACATAAATCATTTTTTTTTTAAACAACATCAATCATTCAAAAAAATAGGGTGATATGGTTTGAAAGGGAAAAAAAAAGTTAAAAACAGAAAGAGAATGAATACATACGTTTTTCTATTCTTCTTCTTTTTCTTCTTTTCTACTTCTTAGATATATTACGGCAGTTATCTCCAAAAAAGATATATTACAGCATTAATTTATAGTAACTCACATGTATAACATCCTTAGTTTTTATTTTTGTCACAATCAACTGGAAGAGTTTACAAGGAAATAAAAGAAATTAGATGTTAAGGTAAAAGACTTGAATGATAATATTACATGTTTTAATTTTTATTTGTGCGCAATAATATTACGATGAGGCAACCTCTCCATTGTCCAAACTTTATCCTGTTGGTTTGTAGCTAGCGTCGATTTAAAATCTATTAGGGTAGTGTAATATAATTACGAGAGAGGCTATATATATATATATATATATATATATATATATATATATATATATATATATAACCATATATGTAAAATTAAAAGAAGGCTAATCAAAACTTGGGGCTGTATTATGTTCGCAAGAAGTTTCGTAGACACTTTGAAGTAGTGTCCTTTAATTATGTTCGCCGATCAGAGAATAGGTGTGCCCAGCCTTTTCACTATCTGGTCCTCGTGTTTGGATTTCTTCTATTCCGTATGTTATTGTGGTCCGGGTCTTTCTCTGTCCGTTTAACGGTCCTCGTGTTTGGATTTCTTCTATTCCGTATGTTATTGTGGTCCGGGTCTTTCTCTGTCCGTTTAACGGTCCTCGTGTTTGGATTTCTTCTATTCCGTATGTTATTGTGGTTCGGGTCTTTCTCTGTCCGTTTAACGGTCCTCGTATTTGGATTTCTTCTATTCCGTATGTTATTGTGGTCCGGGTCTTTCTTTGTCCGTTTAACGGTCCTCGTGTTTGGATTTCTTCTATTCCGTATGTTATTGTGGTCCGGGTCTTTCTCTGTCCGTTTAACGGTCCTCCTTCTATTCCGTATGTTGGGTCTATTCCGTATGTTATTGTGGTCCGGGTCTATTCCGTATGTTATTGTGGTCCGGGCTTTCTCTGTCCGTTTAACGGTCCTCGTGTTTGGATTTCTTCTATTCCGTATGTTATTGTTAACGGTCCAGGTCCATCCTGTTCGCTCCACAGAAGTTGGCCCAAAAGGAATCGTCACTTGTGAAAATTGAACCTGGATTATTATCTCGGAATTCTCCCCCACAAAGAGAACTCATTTACCACTTGAGCTACCCTGTTGGGTTAACATTTGATTTAATATAAGTATTTCGTTTCCTTTGAAAAAAAAAAACAAAACAAAACAAAACAAAAAAAAAACAAAAAAAAAAAAAACTTGGGGCTGTATTATATATATACTTTTTTTTTTAATTTTTTTTTAATTATTTCACATTTTGACCAGAACTCTCGCCTCTTTCGTCTCTCTTGCTCTCTGCTCTCAGCCTGACTGCCTCTCGCTACCGGAGTACCGGCTGCCCCTCTCGGCCTCTCGTCTCCTCTCAGGACTAAGGAGTCCTCGGTCATCTGTGGCTCTATCGCTCTGTCCCTGTCTGTGCCGAACGGTCGCACCTCGCCACTCGCCATTCCTCTGTGCCCTAATTTCGCCAGTCAGCAGCCCAGCAGGAGTCCTCAGTGAGTCAGTGTCTCACAATCTCAGCCTCTCAGGTTCGTATTTTTCAATTTTGCTCTATTTCTCTAATTTTATTTTTGCCCTAATTTCCCTAAGTCTTAGACTCTGTTAATTATATTGAATTTTATTGGTGTTGCCGTTGAATTTTATATGAATGTGAGCAGTGACTAATATTGTTTTTAATCAATTTAAATATTTAATGTATGCGGTTTTTGGATGATTTATGTGGCATGTGCTTAAGTGCTTTTATATCATTATATGAATTGAATCATGAGTACTGAGTCAGTGAGCGGCTAAAAATATTGTTTTTAAATCATGAATGTCGCATGTGCTTAAGTGGTTTTTGGATGATTTATGTCTAATAGACAAAATGAGCAGTGAGTATGTCTAAATGAGAGTGTAGAGGAGTTTTCAAAACCAATGTTTGATTATTGGATGAAAATGTGCCTTGTGGAGGTAAGAGAGGTTGTAACTTTGTTGTGGAAGTTGAGAACTCCATTTAACAATGAGACAATGATTTTATGCTCCCAAAAGGCCTGTTCAAGGCTTCTCTTTGTGCTTAATCGGAAAATAACAAACGTTAATATGATATATTTGGATGGATGAGTTTTAGTGCCTTTTCTTTTGTAACTTTGTTGTGAAAGTTTTGCTTTGCTTTAAGTATATACATACTAAGTACGGTCAATTGGCAATTGCTTGGTGTTACAATTGGCAGCATGGAGGAGATGTAAATGCCGCAGATCATACATGGCAAACAACATTACACTGTACTGCAGTTCCGGTTGCAGAGCTTTTACTCCAAGAGGGTGCTCGGGTAAATGTGGTTGATATATATGGTTATCAGGTATACTATACTTTTGCATGTATTTTATTTTTAGCACATGACACTTAACACATGAACCTGTAGCAGGCCGCAGTAGGACGAAAGGGCACCAAAGTAATTGAACATTTCAACTACTTTTTCCTCCATTGCCTTCCTATATATATTGGCATACTCCTCTCTGAAACAGAACATAAAGATCTCTCACATATAACTCCTCTTGAGTCTTCTTCGTTCCAGTTAATTACCTTCATAGCTTTCCATCAAAACTTCAATGGAGTACTATACCTTTAGCCTCAGCCGCCATTTTCTTCTGGCTGATGTTGCTGGTTTGGAGCAGTCTACTTGTTCTTCCTGCTGCAGCAGCTGGAGCAACTCCCCTGAGCCTCAATTTCTACCAAAAACTGTGTCCTCGCGTGGGAGAAATTGTTCAGAACATGACATGGGAACACACCTCCAACAAACTAGAACTGGCACCCAAGTTTCTGAGGATGCACTTCCATGACTGCTTTGTCCGGATGAGCTAACTTAACTTCCATGATATGCTTGCTTGTTAGCTGCTAGCTAGTATTGTAATAACATTTTTTTGTTTTGTTTTTGTTTTTTGTTTTTTGTTTTTTTTGTTTTTTTTGTTTTTTTTTTGGTTTTGTTTTTTGGGTGCAGGGATGCGATGGATCCATCTTGTTGGATTCAACTCCTAGAAACAAGGCAGAAAAGGATTCAATCTCGAACCAGTCTTTGGCTGGATATGATATGATTGATGAAATTAAGGTTCGGTTAGAAGAAGAATGTCCCAGGGTTGTTTCCTGTGTTGACATTCTAGCATTGGTGGCTAGAGACTCGGTCTCATTCCAGATAATTTATGTTTAAACAAAAACAGAACGTATGTACTTTAGCTAGCTAGGTAGGTAGCTATAATACTAAACTATTTGGTTTTGTTGAGTTTTTGCAGTTCAAAATGCAGATGTGGCCGGTTCCAGTGGGCAGAAGGGACGACAACATCTAAGAGACATCGAGGCACTGTCTGATCTCCCATCATCCTTCTCAAATATCTCCACTCTCCTCGGCGACTTTGCTAGCAGAGAATGGGATGTGCATGATCTTGTTGTCCTTGCTGGTTAGTTAGTTGTTTAGTTACAGACACCTCATATCATAGGATAGGATATGATGACATATGATATGATATCTAACTAACTCACCTGAAAGGACAACAAGATCATGCACATCCAATCCTCTGCTAGCAAAGTTGCGGAGGAGAGTGGAGAAATTTGAGAAGGAGGATGGGAGAAGAGACCAGGCCTCAAAGTCTCTGGAGATGTTGCCGTCCATTCTTCCCAATGGGACCAACCACATAGGCATTTTGAACTGCGCCCAAAATCCAACCGCACCTACACGTTTAGTATTATAGCTAGCTAAAGTATGTTCTGTTTTTGTTTTTGGTTAAGGTTTAGCATAAATTACCTGGAATGAAACAGAGTCTCTAGCCACCAAAGCTAGAATGTCTGCACAGGAAACAACTCCCCAACATTCTTCTTCTAACCGAACTTTAATTTCATCGATCACATCATATCCAGCTAAAGACTGGTTCGGGATTGCATCCTTTTCTGCCTTGTTTGTAGGAGTTGAGTCCAGCAATATGGATCCATCGCATCCCTGCACCCAAAAAAAAAAAATTATTACAATACTAGCTAGCAAGTAACAAACAAACAAAAAGCATGAATAATGTTACGTTGTTTGGTAGCTAGCTCACCTTTACAAAGCAGTCACGGAAATGCTTCCTCAGAAACTTGGGTGCCAATTTTGGTTTGTTGGAGATGTGTTCCCATGTTATGTTCTGAGCGACTTCTCCCACATGAGGGCACAATTTTTGGTAGAAATTCAGAGTCAGTGGAGTTGATGTTCCTGCGAGTAGAAGCTACAGACTGCTCTAAACCAGCAGCATCATCAGATGAAAATGGCGGCTTAGGCTAAAGCTAAAGCTGAACTCCATTGCATGTAATGTGGATTATACTAGCTGTAGGCTAATATATATATATATATATATATATATATATATATATATATATATATATGTATGTATGTATAATGTGAGGAATTATCTATAAACCTTCAGCGCAGCTTAGCTTAATTGCCCCATTTGATACAACAACAAAACCATTCTTTAATTTTATGCAACCACAAAACAACATATGATAATGATAGACTATGCATATATGCAATTTCCTCTCAAAAGTCCTCCATATGCATGTGCTAATAATTAACGATGTCAATTCTTTATCATTTGCCCAACAATTTTTTTTTTTTTTTTCTATTTGTTATGTGTGAATTGAACTACTCGAGGTGAGAAAATGATGAGTATATAAGTTTATAGAAGCTATGTATTTAAGGTATTACTTCATAGGTATGAAATAATACCCTAAATACATAGTTTCTATAAACTTATATACTCATCATTTTCTCACCTCAAGTAGTTCACACATAACAAATAGTAAAAAAAACTAAAAATTTGTTGACAGATCAGACGGATTGACGTTAATAATTATTAGCATATATGCATAATCTATCATATGTTGTTTTGTGGTTGCGTGAAAAATAAAGAATGTTTTTTTGTTGTATAAAATGGCATGCAATTAAGCTAAACTGAAGGTTCATTTATAATTCCTCATATTATATTCATCTACTAGCCTACAGTATAATCCACAGTATAAAGATTGAGTTGATGAGCTCATTATTCGTAGCCTAGTATGACTAGAGTTTATTATTCACAATGTAACATTGATTCTCATGCCAGGTTAGGTTTCTTATTCCTTGTAGGGCTCCTAATCTAAAATAGGTATAAATAGAACCCCACTCATACATGGGAAAAGACAAACAATTATCAGTAATACAAAATATCTACTCTCTCTAAATTCTCTTTATATATACTTTCTTCATATTTTTCATATACTCGAATTGTTATTTTAACGGTTGTGTTGGTTATCCGTTAACTGTCAAAAGTCATAAAACCAATAAAATAAAATAAAACGTAACAACATTAAATTATTAAAAAAATTCATTATAATGGTAATTAACTTATAAGATAAGGAGACTAGAGGTTCAACCTAATGTAGAAAAGGCAATGGAGAAGATAATAAAGACAAGATGTAATGATGTATAACGGATCGGATTTTTGGCCATCTCAACCAATACTAAGAAAAAAAAATTGTTTTGACTAATATAGCAATATAATGTTTGACTGGTTGTGTGTGAATTCGTTGTTATATGGACACTTATACCAACCCGAGTCCATAATATAAAATTTACATACTGAATTTCACCATTTATATATTAAATGTTCAAATTTTAAATTGTGAACATTTAGTACGTAAATTATGTATGTAAGTTATAAACATTTAATAGGTAAATTGTGAACATTTAGAATATAAATTGTAAACATTTAATATATAAATTATGTATTTTAGACTCAAATTTACTTTGTAAGGTGGACTCAGATCCATAAAATAACTTGACGTGTTATATTGGGCCGGCTTAATATGGTATCAGTCGTTATACTGTGCACCTGCACTGCGGTCAAAACGGTGCCGTTACTGTTAACGGAGCGCGCATTTTTTGGTGTGTTAATTATCAAATGAAACTACAATGTATCTAAACTGATGCTACAATGTATCTAAACTGACACTACAGTGTATCTAAATCGACACTGCCTCATGTATTATTTTATATATTATCAAATGAAATTGCAATTATATCAAAATGATACTGTAGTTGTGGTGAAATAAAACTGCAGTTTATATAAAATGAAACTGAATAACATTTTACATATTTGAGTGTATGTTGTGGAATGAAGCTGTAGTTCTATTGAAATTATCATGTAGTTGTGTTTTAAAAAATAAAATTAAATAACATTTTCACATATTTGAGTGTATAAATGTCGAATGAAACTGTAGTTATATCGAAATGAAACTGTAGTTGTGTTGAACTGAAACTGCAGTGTAAACATAATGAAACTAAATAACTAACAGAGTTACTTTTTGCAGAACGGGTGTCGTTTCTTTTTATTAAACAAAAACGACATTGTTTTGAAGCTCGGTGAATATATAATCGATTATGCACCGTGGTGCACGATATAATTTGTCATATGGTATGACATTAATTCTTTTATAGCTAATAATAAGGAAAGAGATAACAAGATACATAAATCCTAATCCTAATATATATATATATATATATATATATATATATATATATATATATATATATATATATATATATATATATATATATATAGGTTTTACACTTTTACTAATAAAATATTATATCAATCACATAATTTTCCTTAATTATGTTAATTTATAATTAAAATTAACTAATGATTCTATTGTATCAATTCTTCCATTGTAATTTAGACATATAATTCTTGGGATGGTATTTTAGGCATATAATTCTTGGAAATTATTAGACACAATGGAAGATTGGAAGCTAAGCAACATTAAAGGATTGGGGGAATGAAAGTAAATAATTCAATTAAAAACCAATAATGGAAAGGACGGTTTGGAATGAGGGAACATTTGAGTCAATGCCAATTCTAAGGATTAAGGGAAGTCAGACACAATACCAGGTTCCAAGATTGTCAAAACTGATTTGGTGGATTGACACATAACTTTAGTGATCTAATGTTAGGCTGAATCGAAATACAGAGATTGTCTCACTTTCGTGATATTACCGATTTTCTCAATAAAGCTCTAGCAATCTAAACCTCTAAAGTTCTCTAGTTTCGTGGCAAAATTTAAGGGTAGTGAGATGGGTCTAGAGGAATATTGACGGTTGTAGATGGGTCAAGAAGATATGTTTACCCCTTGATCACTGGTTGTCAATTTTCAAACTAATAGTGGTTGACAATATTGGGCCCCATATCTCACAACAAAAGGAACCCTAAATTGAGAATCTCATGTGCAATAGATATCAAATATGTATTAAGAATCTCATGTAAACCTCAATCCAAACCCAAGTAAGATTACTACACATTATATAAACTATACAAGCACATAAATATAAAAGCAAATAACCATAAAGATGTAAAATAAGATTAAACAATAACACTTATCTTTGATATAGAGTGGATCGATCCTTGATTCTTGTAAGGTTCAGGCTAAGAAATACAAAAGTCTAATGCTTTCAAAAGTAAAATCTAAGTCTAAACGATGAAAATCTTACAAGAAAACTTACATCCTATGCTACTGTTCATGCTTGCTGCCTCTTCTCTTTTCTCAGATCTGGAAAATATCAATTTATACTGTGCAACATGGTTCGGCGCACGTTTGTGGAAACGGAAACGCCATGGACTTTACCTTGCTCTTTTTGTGCTTCTAGGTGTCAGTTCACTTTTTTTTTTTTTTTTTTTTTTTTTGGTCCTGCTAGTATCATTGTATTATTGTGGCATAACCATTGAAAATATAATGGCATTTTGGTCTATTCAGTTCTAAGTGTTAATTCATTTTTTGTTGTCTTAGATTTATATGTGTCATTTCACTTTTAATTTTTTTCAGAACATCCCCGTTGGTCCTAACATTATTGTGACATGACCATTTTTTGTCCTACGTCAACAAATATGTTTAAATGACATTTTAAAAATGACGTTATTAACCACTCAAAATTATTATTTTTTATTCTTGGTAATATAACAATACAAAGGTTCTACATCTTCAAATAATCATATACACCAATAATACATTCATTGATGACATAAATAATCCAAAATGCATATCATATCATAATAGAACAAAAGTTGCTACCTGTTCAAAGTCTAGTGCAAAACCAGAAAATGTATAATTGAAAAATCACAAATCTACTTCATGACTAACTTTAAGTCTAGTGCATAAGTTTAGTGATAACATAAATTTATGAGGTAGACTTATGTGCTAGAGGGTTTGTCATGAAGTAGACTTATAATTTTTTCAATTGTATTTTTTAGATTTTGCAATAGACTTATATATTGTTAACAGTTTGTACTCCCTATTGATATATAGAGAATAATAACCTTCAGGTATGTATGTGACAACGAGGTTAAACGAGTTTCGAGCTGTTTAAGGTTCGAGGAAAATTTACGGCGATGACATTTGCGACGCCGCAGGCGGCGGCAATGAGACGGAGGATCGGAGAACGATTTCGACGGTGCTGAAGATGAAGAAGAGGTGAATCAACGGTGGATAATGAGGGGGAGGAAATTGATGAGGCCGTTGGGAGTTGTGAGGACGACAAGGAGATGATGATGATGAGTGAAAAGGACAGAGATAGGCTATTCTGGGAAGCATGTTTATCATCATCGTAATTTCTTCAATTCTAGGTTTCATCAAGTTACTTAGTATTCAATCTTAATGTTTTAGTATGATGAAGATTGTACTAGAATTTGTTTAGATTGATTATCCGGCCAACATTGATGGTCTGGTCTTTCTCCTGTTGATCTTCATATATTTATCATCATATCATCGTCACAATACACAAGTGTAAATAAATCAGATTAAGGTGCCATAATAATTTTGATTTTATAGTACTCCTCAAAACAAATATTATATATATACACACACGATAAGGATCAGGTGAGTATAACCCAATCTACATAAGATTTTGAAATCATCACATCATAATCATTCATATTTAAATTCAAAGATTCTAATACGGAGTATATATATAATCTAAGAATTGACTAGTCGACAATTCCTCCTAATTTCCCCAGAAGTCCCAGTCAGGACTTGGATGACTCACATCTTTTCCATGGATTTAGCAAAGGATTTGAAGTAAAAATCTTGATCAACCATTTTGTCCACAATCTTCCTCGCATGATAATCTGTAAGGAGTGTTGCGTCAGACTGGAACATTCCCATTTTCTGCTTGAGAATGACATAGTAGTCGGTATCGAAATCTTGAGAGCTGCCGGGATCCATCTCCACCACACTCATGTCGTTAAGATTCTTGCATTTTGTTCTTAACATGTCTACATATGAAGGGTTCAAGGACAGGTCTTGATCTCCCTTTCCAGTGAAGTTGTAGAGGCGGTTGCTGAACAAATTGCAATATAATATTTTAAGACTATTATGATGTTATTGAATTCGAACAAATAATTATATATCCAATTACCCGTGCGACGCACGTGCGGTTCACGTGCGACGCATGTTGGTCACTGCAATTTGTTCGGCAACTGGCTCTACAACTTCACAAATATGGTACGAGAATTTGTTTAGATTGATTAACCGGCCAACATTGATGGTTTGGTCTTTCATCTTTTGATCTTCATATATGTATCATCATATCATCATCACAATATGCAAGTGTAAATAAATCAGATTAAAGTGCCTTAACAATTTTGATTTTATAGTACTCCTCAAAACAAATATTATATATATACACACATCATAAGGATAGGTGAGTATCACCCAATCTATATAAGATTTTGAGATCACATTCTAATCATTCATTATTTAAATTCAAAGATGCAAATTACTTTTATTCTAATACGAAGTATATTATATAATCTAGGAATTGACTAGTCGACAATTCCACCTAATCTCCCCAGAAGTCACAGTCAGGACTTGGATGGCTCCCATCTTTTCCATGGATTTAGCAAAGGATTTGAAGAAGAAATCTTGATCAACCATTTTGTCCACAATCTTCTTGGCATGATAATCTATAAGGCGTCAGACTGGAACATCCCCATTTTCTGCTTGAGGATGACATAGTAGTCGATATCGAAATCTTGGGAGTTGCCAGGATCCATCTCCATCGCACTCGTGCCATTAAGATTCTTGCATTTTGTTCTTAACATGTCTGCATATGAAGGGTTCAAGGACAGGTCTTGATCTCCCTTTCCAGTGAAGTTGTAGAGCCGGTTGCTGAACAAATTGCAATATAATATTTTAAGAATATTCTGATGTTATTGAATTCAAGTAAATAATTATCTAATTATCTGTGCGACGCATGTTGGTCCTTGCAATTTGTTCAGCAACCGGCTCTACAACTTCACCAAAAAGGGAGATGAAGACCCGTACCATTAATGGTGTGACCACCTGCATGCAGACAAACAAATTAATTAAACCTCTAGGGTTAATATAATGTTACAACATAGTAGCTAGAAACTAGGACATAGCTAGTATTGTCATCCTATCCTATCCTATGATATGATATGATGTCTGTAACTAATTAAACAACTAACTCACCATAAAGGACAACAAGATTATGCACATCCAATCCTCTGTTATCAAATTCGTCGAGGAGAGTGGAGATATTTGAGAAGGATGATGGGAGATCAGACAGTGCCTCGATGTATCTTGAGATGTTGCCGTCCCTTCTGCCCACTGGAACAGGCCACATCTGCATTTTGAATTGCAAAAACTCAACAAAACCAAATAGTTTAGTATTATAGCTACCTAGCTAGCTAGCTAAAGTATATATGTCCTGTTTTTGTTTAAACATAAATTACCTGGAATGAGACCGAGTCTCTAGCCACCAATGCTAGAATGTCAGCACATGAAACAACCTCGGGACATTCTTCTTCTAACCGAACCTTAATTTCATCAATCACATCATATCCAGCTAAAGACCGGTTCGGGATTGAATCCTTTTCTGCCTTGTTTGTAGGAGTTGAGTCCAACAAGATGGATCCATCGCATCCCTGCACCCAAAAAAGAAGAAGAAGAAGAAGTTATTACAATACTAGCTAGCTAACAAGCAAGCATATCATGGAAGTTAAGTTAGCTCACCCGGACAAAGCAGTCATGGAAGTGCATCCTCCTTAGAAACTTGGGTGTCAGTTCTGGTTTGCTGGAGGTGTGTTCCCATGTCATGTTCTGAACAATTTCTCCCACGCGAGGACACAGTTTTTGGTAGAAATTGAGGCTCAAGGGAGTGGCTCCAGCTGCTGCAGCAGGAAGAACAAGTAGACTGCTCCAAACCAGCAGCATCAGCAGATGAAAATGGCAGGCAAATGACGGGTCTTGATCTCCCTTTCCAGTGAAGTTGTAGAGGCAGTTGCTGAACAAATTGCAATATAATATTTTAAGAATATTATGATGTTATAGAATTCGAGTAAATAATTATCCAATTATCTGTGCGATTCACGTGCGACACACGTGCGGTTCACGTGCGACACATGTTGGTCATTGCAATTTGTTCAGCAACCGACTCTACAACTTCACAAAAAAAAAGGACATGAAGACCCGTCCTTGACCCTCATATGCAGACATGTTAAGAACAAAATGCAAGAATCTTAATGGCACGAGTGCGGTGGAGTTGGATCCCGACAACTCCCAAGATTTCGATATCGACTACTTTGTCATCCTCAAGCATAAAATGGAGTCGGGAGTGTGCGAAGATGAGGCACTAAAGTGCACCATTTTGTGTTTGAGGCTGACAAAGTAATCAGAATCAAAATCACGGGAGCTGCAGGGATCCATCTCCACCGCACTTGTGTCTTTAAGATTCTTGCATTTTGTTCTTAATATGTCTGCATATGAAGGGTTCAAGGACAGGTCTTGATCTCCCTTCCATGTGAAGTTGTAGAGGTAGTTACTGAACAAATTGCAGTAACCAACACCAATGGTGTGACCACCTACGAGGCCGGCATTTTCAGATCAGATCACATAATTTAATTAAACTTGTTAATATAATGTTACAACTGTAATAACTAGATACTAGGACATAGTATTGACTTGAGGGAAACATGCAACCCAATCATTAGCTTAATTAATATAATAATTATTAGTCAATTATACTAATATATGTGTAATTATATTTTTATAACTTCTGTATATATATTATCAAATGTGTTGCATATATGTTAATTAGTTAATAGTTGACAGTATATAACTTTATTAGATTTTTAATTTTTAATGGTGGGGACCAGATATGCCCGATTTTCAATAGTTGAGTGAATGATTTATTTGTGATATCAAATGTAGAATGAGTTTTATTACCACATTTAATATCACACCATTACAAGACGAGTCCAAATTTGACTCTTACTCGATAATTCTATGAATTGGAAACTCTACAATTCTTTCTAACTTCTCCAGAAGTTTCAGTGAGAACTTGGATGGCTCCCATCTTCTCCATAGACTTAGCAAAGGATTTGAAGAAAAAATCTTGATCAACCATTTTGTCAACGATCTTGCTGGCCTTATCATCGGTCAGAAGTGCTACGTCGGATTCAAACATTCCCATGTTTTGCTTAAGGATGACAAAGTAGTTAGCATCGAAATCTTGAGAGCTTCCAGGGTCCATCTCCACTGCACTTGTGTCTTGAAGATTCTTGCATTTTGTTCTCAACATGTCTGCATATGAAGGGTTCAAGGATGGATCTTGATCTCCCTTTCCTGTGAAGTTGTAGAGCCTATTGCTGAATATGTTGCAATGCCCTACACCAATTGTGTGACCACCTACGTTTCCAATGTAGTAACATTATATTTCTTGCAATTTGTCTATTGGGCACTAGGTTACCAAGTCCAAGTCTTAAAAAATATGTAAGATAATTACGAAGCCCAATAGAGCGGTTCAAATTGGAAGTCCAGATTTATTAATTAGCACACTTATCATATATATGATTAACATCTTTCAATTCAATGGCATTTAATGCTCACGCGTGGAGCTGCCGTTACAACATAACAGATATATAAGAGAGCATCTTGAATTGGAACTATTAGTATCATTATCATTACTTTGTAATGTCTAAATAAGAGTAGCATACCTGATAAAATTACAAGATCGCCAACATCAAGTCCTTTACTAGCAAAATTTTGAAGGAGGGTGGAAAAGTTTGAGAAGGGTGAGGGGAGGTTTGCCATGGCCTCAGTTTCTCGTGAAATGTTGCCATCCCTTCTGCCCATCAGCACCGACCACATCGGTGTCTTAAACTGTCAAATTGAAGGACATGTATTTAGTACTTCGTCACACACACATATAAAGATAAAATAAAAAGTCTATATGGACAACATGCTTTGATACTCAAATACAAATTGTGGGCATTGAGTAAAATAACAATAGTTTAATTTGGATTGGATATATAGTACCTGAAATGAAACGGAGTCCCGGGCAGCCAGAGCTAGAATGTCAGCACAAGAAACAATTCCAGGGCACTCCGCTTCTACAACAACCTTAATTTCGTCAATAACATCGTAACCGGCTAGAGACAGGTTTGGAATTGCTTCTTTCTCCGCTTTGTTCGTGGAATTTGACTCCAACAATATGGATCCATCGCATCCCTGCACCAAACACAACAAAAGCTCTCACAACACTACCAAGCTAAGATTGCCAGCCTAGGTAGCTAATACCATGTAGAATGAAATTCACCAAAGCTTTAATTAATTTGTACATATATATACTCACCCTGACAAAACAATCATGGAAGTGCATTCTGAGAAACTTGGCTGCCAGTCCAAGGTTGTCGGAGGTGCGCCGCCATGTTATGTTCTGAACAATCTCTTCCACTCTAGGGCAATCTTTCTTGTAAAAATTCTGTTTCAGAGGACCTGCTTCAGAAACAACACCACAAAATACCAGAAGAAAACTGCAAACCAGGATCAGATAAAGATGGCGGCTTGGGCTTGGGCTTATAAACTCCATTATTGTAGTTATCGATCTGAGGTTTAATTTTATGCAGTGGGTTCATGCCATTTTATAGACACAGATACACAGAATTCATGTATGCAATGCCATAAAATAGCATTATTAGTTTTGCTGTTTTTCTAAGTATATATTAACCCCATGAATAAGCCACGTACAATGCCATTTTAGTTTTAAAATGGGTATATTAGCTAGCAAGCTGACTTGAAATGCAAGGCACATTCGTTTCATCTTCCGCAAGTGAGGGAGGAGACTATATATATATATATATATATATATATATATATATATATACACACTTTTAATAATACTTAGCTTCATTTAGTGCGTATTTAGCACATGCATGGTATTATTATTATTATATTATAATTATTTGATGAAACGAATTCAATCCGACATTCAAGTTACAAGTGATTGATGAACATGAATTAACATGGTAATTTTAATTTAAGAATTGGGAACTCTGCAATTCTTGCGAACTTCTCCAGAATTCCCTGTGAGGACTTGGATGGCTCCCATCTTTTCCATGGATTTAGCAAAGGATTTGAAGAAGAAATCTTGATCAACCATTTTGTCCACAATCTTCCTGGCATGATAATCTGTAAGGAGTGCTGCGTCGGACGGGAACAACCCCATTTTCTGCTTGAGGATGACAAAGTAGTCGGTATCGAAATCTTGGGAGCTGCCGGGATCCATCTCCACCGGGCTTGTGTCGTTAAGATTCTTGCATTTTGTTCTTAACATGTCTGCATATGAAGGGTTTAAGGATGGGTCTTGATCTCCCTTTCCTGTGAAGTTGTATAGCCTGTTGCTGAATAGGTTGCAATGTCCCATACCAATCGTGTGACCACCTACATTATATTTTCAGATGTTAATATTATGCTACAACTTAACATCACCATGAGATCGATAGATGTGTAATTGGGGCAAACGGTAACCAACTTGGTTTGATAATTGGCTTGGTCCCAAATTTGACTCCTTACGGGAGATGACTGGTAGAATAATGTGATAGACATGCACCCGACCTGGAACCACCCGAAGAAGAACTGAAACATATATTTACTCTAACACCAGTTTATTCAAGACAGGACAATATAATTATGGTGAATAATGTAGACTCGGCTCCTCATTAGTATGAGACCGTTACTTAAGTAGTAGAACGTTGGAGGCACTAATATAAATTGAAGACTCTTCGTTATGTTAAGCAGGACACACGGAATATTTTGTACTGAAACTCTAAAGCAATACAACTGTACTTGTTCACTTTCCTAATATTATCCGGTAACATATTTATACACACACACAAATATATATATATATATATATATATATATATATATTGCCCTTCTCAATTTGAGCTGATGAGACAACCTAGGCTGATTAACCTTCTCATGATCGTTTGCTAACTATTAATAGTCTAAAGTTCAATCAATTTGAGCTCAGATCAGCTCGAATATGTTCAATAAAATTTTTATTCATATATATATATATATATATATATATATATATATATATATATATATATATATATATATATATTATAATTATATATAATAATTTTACAACCAAATGACATAACAAAATTCAACATGAATCTCGATTATACCCATTTTATAATATCTAAAAATATGAACATATTAGCTAAGTTTGTAATATTATATTTAAATTTATATATATAATATATATACAAAATAAAGAGTAGTGGCTCTTGATCTCATGTAGATCTATGAGATAGTTGGGATACGGTTAATATGGAAATGTAATACTTATACTAAAAAATGTAATACTAATCATGAATAAAGTATATTATATTGTTACTTATAATAAGGGAGAGTGTAATATTTTCTAAATATATTTGTCAGAGTCAAATTTGAGTAACTCGATTATCACAATTCACAAATAGCTTGACTTGCTTATACGGTTTATATCTGTCCCTAATTCTCTCTCTCTCTCTCTCTCTCTCTCTCTATATATATATATATATATATATATATATATATATATATATTTTTTTTTTTTTTTTATTAGACCACGAGGTTTGAGGCACCTTTAAACCCGTATATTAGTTCTCATTAATTTGCATCGGGCGCATCCAATTAAGGAACAAAGTGGTGGTTTAATTGGTTTTTTCATATATGGTGTTTAGATAAGAGTAAAGTACCGGATAAAATGACTAGGTCATGGACACCAAGTCCTTTACTAGCAAAACGTTGAACCAGGGTGGAGAAGTTAGAGAAGGGTGAGGGAAGGTTAGATAAGGCCTCGCTTGCTTGTGAAATTCTGCCATCCCTTCTGCCCATGGGCACCGACCACATCTTCTTCTTGAACTGCAAATCAAAACTCCATACATGTTTTTAGTGTTTTGTTCATATATATATATATTGTAAGTACATACTGTGTTTTTAGGTCAAATCATTAATTACCTGATACGAAACGGAGTCCCTAGCAGCCAAAGCTACAATATCTGCACAAGAAACAACCCCGGGACATTCTGCTTCTATTGCAGCCTTAATTTCGTCGATGACCTCGAAACCTGCGACAGACAGGTTTGGGGCCGCTGCTTTTTCTGCCTTGTTGCTCGTCGTTGAGTCCAATAATATGGATCCATCGCATCCCTGCACCAATATGCATGTTAAAGAGTTTCGGGTTAAACCTTCTTAGAATTAACCGTCAAACCTTAATTACAACACACCCGACCAATAATACAGTTTAGTTGTGAGAATATCGGATGTTGTATATATATATATATATACTCACCCTGACAAAGCAATCATGGAAGTGCAATCTGAGAAGCTTGGCGGGCAGTTGAGGGTTACTGGAGGTGCGCTGCCATGTTATGCTCCGGACGATTTCTTCCACGTAAGGGCATTCTTTCTTGTAAAAATGCTTTTCCAGGTGACTTGCTTCACAAGCAACAACACAAAACACCACAAACAAACTGCAAACCAGAATCAGGTTATGGTGGCGGCGGTGGCTGAACTCCATTGTTGTAGTAGTTACTATATATATATATATATATATATATATCCTCCAAACACCTTATATATATAGAAGATTGACTATTTTATATGCAATGGCTGCAGCCAATTTATAGATACTGATGACAAATGGCATTCAATTAAATAGGAAGCTAGATAAGGACTGTGCTCTTTAATATATATATATATATATATATATATATATATATATATATATATATATATATATATAATACTTAGCTTTGATTTACGAAAATTACCCTGTGGCCGGACTGTGACCCTAGTTGACAAATGATCACAATGAGATAACCAGTCTAAATTGTCCATTACAGATCAAACTAACAAGTTTAATAGACCGCTACCATGAAAAGTTAAGTTGAACTTAGTTACTAAGCCAACTGTAGATCCAGCCACTTACAAGTTGAGTTGTCTCCAATACTTATCTTTATTTTTAGTATGTACGCAGCACATGCATGGAAACTAAACTTGGAAAGGGCATACGATCTTAGCTTGCTTAAACTACCTATACATAAATAGCATGCACCAAACCACCCTAATGTACATTTTTTTTTTTTTTTTTTTAATTCATACCTAGGAATAGAATGGAAAAAACAATAAAACACTACAAAAATCTGGATATAATAACAACATCTATTATATCAACAAAAGGTATTGAGGGTAAACTCTTCGATCCAAATGCTTCAAAATTTGTCGGTCTAGTAAAAAATATGATCATTATAAGTTGTCATTTAATTTGCATAAGAGTAGTAACTTCTTTAGGATTATGTCGGATGGATGCTACTCATACATAGTACCATTTTTTTACTAGGGTTTGCTGGATGGATCATATATTAAAGTTGGTTACAACTAATAGTATTGGTGTATATTAGCAGTAGCTTCAATGTCGTGTTGTGTGCTGCCTTTCGTACAAAGGTTTGGTATTCCGTCATCACTGAGATAAATTATTATTATTATTATTTTAAATGACGAGAAAAACTCACAACTATTATTTGAAGGTGCAGTGTGTATTAGATAAATTTCGTCTTGTGGCCCTAATCAACAAATGACCACAATGAGGTAAAGCATTATCATAGGTTACTTATAAGTGACCAACTCAAACCAAAAAGATAAATAGACTATTCTTATTATAAATCAAACTTGTAATAAACTTTATAGCTAGTTACCAAATCAATAACCTCACTTACTTGGTCGGGGTCGCCACATGTTATGATACATTTTGGGTTTATGGAATCCAAAATTCATTTAAAATTTTCAAATACTAACGGATAAAAATAAGAGAATTTTACATTAGGAAAACACTAAATCAAAACTTTATTGCTTTTCCCATCTTGTGACCCTAGTCGATAAAGGTCACAAGGATATAAACAACTGCTATGGAGCTGAGAATCAAACTTATAATTTTGTGATCACTACTCACTAAGTTAACTATCTTACCAAGTTGGCTTGCATTGCCTTATGCATTTTTTGTTTGTCAAAAATAATAATAATAATAATTGCCCCACAAGTATATGGTCCTTCAATTTACTAGCTAGCAAATTAAATGGGGGCTATATACATGTACGAAATCCATTGGGTTATCAGTTATGGGTGTTGCCTACCTAATATATTACTCCGTACTATATTATGTATTTGATGTATCTTTTGCTAATATTGCAAGCAAATTTGAGAGCTAGCAAAGCAAGAGAATAAAGTATATATATACAGTATGAAGATTGAAAACCAAGCTAGATTATATTGCAGGCTGTTAAAGCTATATATAGTGTAAATGAAATGAAACCAATTCAAAATTAATGAAGTCAAGGCAATCAAGCAATCCCAAGAATTGAATCATAAACATAAAGTCAACAAATGATACTACCTATACAAGATTTAAAGTATAAATAACATTAGTTGTGGACTTGTGGCTTTTAATTAATTAACCAACTCAAAATAGTTTCATAAATTTTATTTTGATCACATACATACACAGAGTCCACAAATCATATTAGTTGGCACTGAGTATGTACTTGCTATCCTTATACCTTACCATACGATCGATGTCATCTCTAGTTGACTTAGATTGCTTGCTATCCCCTATGGCTTAGCATATGCCGTCTCTAGACCTTGATAGGGCGTTTGGTTCAGATTATATAACATAACCAAGGAAATGTGACATTCCAAAGCTCACATTCCTATGTTTGGTTCACATTATCTCAGGGAATCTAACATTCTCCAAGAATGTCACATTCCCTCCACATAGGATTTTGAAAGGAATGTGATTCCCTTCAATTTCTAAGGTTATGTAAAATAACCTTGGTTACGTTATGTTAGGTTAGCATATAAAATAATTTTGTTTCTCGAGTTCAATATTTTAGTTAATATTTTAAAATTATGTAATTATATATGATACTGTTATCTTATTTATTTGTTTTAATTTTTAAATTTATTAAAATATATAAAAATATGTTAAGGATATTATAGTGTGTGAATAAAAGATAACCCTAAACCAAACATGATTATATTACATACCTCAATTTTAACCAAACACAAGAATCTAACATTCTCTAAGGTAATCTGACATTTCGTGAACCAAACCACCCTGAGTGCTTCCATTAACATTCACTTTCAACAAATGGCTCCATGAGCACAACTATCTGACTAGAATTTGCATCACATTTTATATTACACTACTAAAAATGTTTGATTTTCTGACAACCTACAAATTGCTCCAATCAACTTTTCAAGATATACTCCAAATGTTCTAAACTTTGTTAATAATTTGCAATAACTAATTCAATGAATGACATAATATAACTTTTAAAACATTAGCGAGGACAATGTTATTAAGAAAATTAAACATGCTCAAATTTCATAAGTTTATAATTTCTAAAAATTCATAATTTGGGTTATAGCAACCGAAATATAAAATTTGAGGGAAAAATGGCATTTTTCTTTCCCTGAGTTGTATACTTATAGCATTTTTTCTCCCTAAATGATTCAAGTGGATGTTCTCCCCCCCCCCCCCCCCCACCCTCCCCCCCGAAATGTTAAATGGACATATTTACCCTTAAAATAAATATTTCATTTATTTTTCTTCTCCAACAAATTATGACCATAATTTGGTTCAAACCAAATAGACACTATAGCAACCAAACCGAAATATATTTCAGTTACAATTTAGAATCGAAACCCGATATTTAGAGTTTATTAAATTGCGAATCGGAACAGCCGGTTCATGTTCCGAACTGAAAAAAGTAAAATATATTTATTGTTGAATTTAGACTATTTTAAAATAAAGACGGCTCAAAATCGCAAACTGGATCCGGAACCGCCGGTTCACGGTTTAATATCCAGTCTATTCGATTCATAATTTTAATAAATTGAAATCCAAATATTGGGTTCTTGATCTAAATCATAACCGAAAACTTTTAATTCGATTGCTATAGTGTTCGGTTCAGTTCAAATCGAACTGTGGTTATCCCTATGTATACGCAATAATTTGTTGGAGAAGAAAGATTAATAAAATGTTTATTTTAAGGGTAGAAATGTCAATTTAATATATCAGGAAAAACCACCACTTTTTAAATAATTGAAGAGGCTAATGTGCTTACATGAATAACTCAGGAAGAAAATGTGCTATAAGTATATAACTCAGTGGAAAAAGCTATTTTTCCAAATTTGAGTGGGGACATCTCAAAATTATAAGTTATAGGTGAGTGCAACTCAATCCAAAATTGTAAACTATATAGGACTCAATTGAAACAATAAAAACTGTAGGGGTGAAAATGAAACTATGAAATTTAAGAGGAGTGAGGGACTTGGCGGTTGAGTTAGTAGATCAAAGCAACGTGGCGCACGTTAGCTCCAGATCCACCGTGAACCCGAAATCCAGACCCGAATTCCAAAGGGGGCAACAAAGTTTGACGTGGTGCACCATTGCCATTTTCAACGTACAGTAGAGTTAGCCTCACTTCGCTCCTTCTCTCTCCGCCCCGCCCGCCGGTTTTCTCATCCGCCGCGGTTGCGTTACAGTCGGAGGTCCTAACTCCTAAGCTCCCCCGCCGTTTCTCTTCACCGTCACATACGTAGGGTTTTCATTCTCTTCGAAAACGACTTCTCTTCGCGTTTCTTAGCTTCCAAAAAAAAAAACAAAAAATAATGGTTGTTTTATCGGGGGAGGTAGGAGGAGCTTCCGAGGCTTGAATTTAGCTTCACTTGCTTTAAATCTAGGGTTATCGAGTTTTGAATTTTCCTTCAAATTTTCTCGATTTTGAATGTTTTAAGCTATGTTAAGGGTAAAACGTTTGCATACAGTTACAATGACGGAAAAATAAAGAGAAAGCTGTTAAGAAATTCATTTTATGTTTATTGTTATTTTTTGGTGGCATTGCAGGTTCCAGAAATGAGGCTGTCTAAGGAGGAAGCGACATGCAGCGCTGAGCCTGCTAGTACTTCGGTCAGAAGAGCGGAACCGGTAAGTTTTTAAAATTTAGAAGGTTATAGGAAACTAATTCAACTCGTTGGCTTGTGTAGTTTAGATAGGCTGTTGTGGATTTGAACGTTTAATGATGGTTCCTTTGAATTTATTGTATGGTGCTTTTGTTCTTCCCTTCTGGGGAAGAAGATTTGAGGAATGGGGGATTGAGCTCATAACCATATGTTAAGACGTCTCCACCTGGCTACCTGAGCTGGGTGTTCTCTTAATGGTGTGCACTTGAGTAAAAAGAAGAAAAAGTTTTTTTGGCTTTGGTGCTACTATGTGTCATGTTCAGAAGTATTTATTCTTGCTAATATGGAAATTAATGTTGTTGGCATGTTATTCTCTGTGGGGTTTGGAGGGTGGGAGGGAGTTAGTAAAAATGAGAAAATGTAGTTTATATATATAATATAAGTGAATACATCAAAAGAATGAATACTGAACTTCTTGGGTTTATCTTTAACCCTGCATTTGGTATAGACATCTTTTATAACCTGTAACTCTTCAAATACAATATGGTGGAGTTATATCCTTTAACCCTGTGAAGGTCATGCCTCCCATCATTTCCGACTTTCAGCCTTTCAGGTGGCTTCAGTGTTTGTATAGCCAGTGTTTTTAGTTCATATTGTCACATCTTTCTTTTTGCATTAACACAGTCTTTTATAACACTAATTCTGCTTTTGATTACTAGCCGCTGGACCTAGTTTCAGCAGTCAAAGGACTACACACTCTTGGCTCTCAGGAGCTAAGCAGGTTAATTAGAGATGCTGAAAACAATATTCTTCGACATAGTACTCAGAATGGATCAAGTGTTCAGGTTGATTTTCATTGACAGCCTGGTTGTACCTATTTATCTCACTTATTGTTTGACGAGTTTGTTCTACCTTGTTACATACTTACATGTGCTTAAATGCTTAATCTTGTAGGTTGATTTGGAAAAACTCGCAAGACACCTCTCATTGCACCTTATTGCAGTGATTATGGCACGAGAAACAAATGAAGCGCTGCTCAAATACTTGTTATCTGGATTTCAACTGTTGCATTCCCTGAGTGATATAGCTTCTCGGCATCCTAAACTTGAACAGGTTAGATCTTGATATGTTTAATTTATTTTACAGTATTCTTAACCAGTTATCGTCATTGACCTTTGGCACAGTCAAACAGGTTAGATCACAATCTATTTAAAATGAGTTGAGACTTGAGAGGTTTTCTTATGATGTGCTGCCATATGTAAACTTACACTTTTAACTTTACACCATTGTTCCAGATATTGCTCGACGATATTAAAGTATCGGAACAGCTACTTGACCTGGTCTTTTATTCCCTAATCATACTATGTACTTACTGTCAGGTTGTTTCTTATCTATCTCTTAAATCTGATTATACATTATTTTGTACTCCCTACTAACAACAACAATAATTACACAGAAATTTCAGGTTTCAAATGATATGGTTCTTTTGCATTCAACTCTAGTTGCTTCTAGCCTATACATATTGACAGTGTGTATTTCTTCGCAATGGCATGAGCTAGCTCAAGTTTTTCTTGCATACTATAAGGTTAAGGTTCTTATATTATCCTCATTTTGTAAATGAAATATAAATTTTAATAACGAAAAGATCAAGATATATGGGGATAATTATAGAGCTTAGTTGCAGGTTGATATTTTCATGGATGCTGCTTTTGCTGCCCTCTGTGCGGATATGAAATTTCTCCAGAGCAGGCTGTCAGTTGAACATCCTGATTCTTTTGCTGACTCTACTTCTAAAGCTGTAGAAATACTGAATCATTTGTGCCAGCAGTGCGAGGCTTCTCTACAGTTTATTCAGTCACTATGTCAGCAAAAAGTGTTCCGTGAGCGCCTTCTTAAGAATAAGGTTTTTGTTTGACCAGCTATATTATTTTCCTGGTTTCCCCCCTTCTTTTGATATATCTGAAATAAAAAGAATGCCTGTATTTATGAGGGTCTGTTATTCAAATGGAGTCGACAATCTCATGATTACAGTGTTAACGGGAAGTATTTGTAGTTGAGCTGAACTTCTGCATCATAAGTGGAAAATAATTTGATCTGTTATGATAAACTGAAGATTCTTGCTGCCCATTGGGTGTTGCTGTAAAGTGTAAGACCAGCTATTGCAGCTTTTATTGCACTAATAACTGTTTAGGAGTGATCTATGCAAAGTAACTCGTTCATCTGTTTGTGGTTTGCACTGGTGGAGTGGTGGGAATGGGAAAATTAGATGATTTACCTGCATGCATTTAACTGTTACTATTACCTTGAAGCATATTCTTATAGTAAGTTAATTACTTCTATCATTTCTGCCAAGTTTGTGTTTCTTTTCCTATTATATTAGCAACTCTGCTGAACTCCTATTGCAGCATTAACTAGTTGCAACTTTTAACCGATTTCAGATCTTCACACTCTAACTTGAAACCCTTTAGATAGCTTCTTCTACCTATTAGTGACCTCTTGTTTTCTTTCTATCTCAGGAGCTATGCAGCAATGGTGGTGTTCTTTTGCTGGCTCAAGCTGTTATGAACTTAAATATATCTCCTCTATTCCTAGAGTCCTCATCAATTGTAGCTGCTGTCTCCAGGCTAAAATCAAAAGTTTTGTCCATTGTAAGTCTATTGCTGGAGACTTGCACTTTTTCTTAAACATGAAGCTTAAGTGTGAATAATTTTTTATTATTGTTTTTTCCCCCATCATATTCCTTTAAAAATGAAGTTTAAGTGTGAATCATTTTTTTCATCAAGTTCCTTTAAACATCAAGTTTAAGTGTGAATCATTTTTTAAAATTTTTTTTTTTTTTCATGAAGTTCCGTTAAACATGCACACCATTTATGCAGTTGTTGAACCTCTGTGAAGCAGAGAGTGTCTCTTATTTGGATGAGGTCGCCAGTACTCCAGCAAGCCTTGATTTGGCAAAGTCTATTGCTCTTAAGGTTGGTTTCTGGAGGATATTATTATTGTTGCTGCTGTTGTTGTTGTCAAGGTTGTAAAAGGCGCTAGGCGCTCATCGGGTGGTGGGTGGGCACCTAGCCCCTAGGCGGATGCCTAGGTATATTAAAAAATAATCTTTTTTGCCTTTTATTTATTTTAGGCTTTAATATCAAAGCATAAAAGACCTTTCATTTACTTTAGGCTTCAATGTCAAGGCATAAAAGACCCGTTTCATTTACTTCAAAGTTTCAATACCAAAGCATAGAAGACCTTTCATTTACTTCAAGCATAAATACTAGAGCATAAAAAGAAGAGCCTAGGCACATAAATTTTGTAAAAAAATTGTTTTTGCCTTTCATTTACTAAAAGGCTATCAAAGCAAAAAAAAATAAAAAAATAATAATAATAATAAAAATAAAAAACCTGACTCTGCTCTTCTCTGTCGGATGGAAAAAAAACTTGGCTAATTCTGCCGAGTTGGGCGCGGAGGGCACCTAGTTGGCCGTCCGACTTAAAGGTGCCTAGGCCTGAAATCCCCTTGGCCTAGGAGCGCCTAGTGCCTAATCGGCACCTAGGCGACTGCCTAGGCCGATTTTTACAACAGTTGCTGTTCTAGATGACCATTAGTAAATCGAACCATGTCAAGAGATCAAACAGTGCTCTTCCAGGTTATGCGACTCCACAAAGTATTGTGGATTGAAACAGTCCCCGAGAGCATGGTTTAGTCGTTTTAGCATAGTTATCAATGAATTTGGAATGATTCAAAGTAAAGTTGACTATTCTGTGTTTTATCTCGATGGAAGGAAAGTGTATCTACCTTATAGTCTTTGTGGACGACATTGTGATTACTGGCAACGACGCGGAGGGCATATCCAAGTTGAAAGCTCATCTCCAACAATCACATTATTAGTCATTAAGTCTTATTTTGGGCTGGATGAGCAATACAAGTTGCTTACTTTGATGTCAACTATTTTGATCAGTTAAAAACAGCTCATTGGTACTAATGCATTTGTATGGTGTAGGTTCTTGAGTTATTGAAGAACATGTTTGAAAGGAATCCCAAACAATCTTGTGTTCTCTCTGATAAAAGCTACCCAAGAGGACAATTGCAACTCAATGCAATGCGGCTGGCTGACATCTTCTCTGATGATTCAAACTTTCGGTCATATATCACCACCCACTTTGTAAGATCTGATTACTGTGCCTAAATTGATTAGCTAGTTTATAAAAGTTTTTCTCACTTTGTGCTTAATTTTTACCTTCTAGAAAATTGTATTTGGATGTTTTTGCTGACCCCTTGATTATGATATGCACCTTCAGACTGAGGTCTTGACGGCCATCTTTTCTCCCCCTCATGGAGAATTTCTGTCTAGTTGGTGTTCACCTGACCTTCCTGTTCGCGAGGAAGATGCTACTCTAGAGTATGACCCATTTGCTGCTGCTGGGTGGCTGTTCAATTTTTATTCATCCTATCAGTTAATTGGGGCTTCTTCAGAATCAACGTTCATTCCTAGCAATGTGTCTAGAGTACCCTATGGACATCAGCGAACTTCACTGTTGGTCAAAATTATTGCAAACCTTCATTGTTTTGTTCCAGATATCTGTAAAGGTAAAGGCTCTTATCTGGCATTCAACACGGTGTGCTGCCATTTTCTTCTTTGGTTAATTATTTGTATATACTCTCTGAACCTCAGATGATAAGGATCTCTTCCTTAAAAAGTTTCATGAGTGCTTGCAAAATGAACCAACCAAATCAGCGGTTGACATTTCATCTGTTTGTTATGCTGAAAAAGTGGCTGTTATTCGTAGAAACCTAGGTAACTTGTTCTGACTAATTGATCTGATTTTTTAATCTACTTATTTGGAATTTTTTTTTTGCTTTACTAATGACTAGTGTTTCCAGGTTCACTCCTGAGTCATGCTGAATCTTTAATTCCTACTTTTCTAAATGAAGAGGATGTGCAACTTTTGAGGTGATTTAGATCTCAATTTTGCAAGCCTTTTATTGAATCCTTTTTCTTTGTATTTTGTGGGACTCTTAGTTGTAGATCTGGTCATTACATGAGTTTTGCTATACTTCCTATTGGTATATTTATTTCTTTATAATCAAATTATATGCCATCTGATCTTTCATTGCAGGGTGTTCATCACTCAGTTAGAGTCTCTGATTGCTCCTGCTGAAATTGGAGAAAACCGAGTTCAAGTAATTTCTTTCTTCCGATAACGATGTATACCATTCTTTTTATTTCTACATATTTGATTTGTTGCTCAGAAATGTCTTTTCAATTTTCTTAGGAATGGTTATAGTTAACTTGTCATTGTCTACAAACTGAACATGTGCTTGAATTGTTCTATTGAAAGAATTCAATAAAGGAAAAGATGGATTTAGCATGTTAGAATAAATGATCAATTAGCCCAACATGATGACCTGAATGCTATATGTTTTTATTCATTTTCCCCAATAAATTTTGAGATTTGTGTCTCAATTAAACAAGGAAAGCCACAATTGAGCTAAGTCTGGGAACTTGTGGACTCTGCTTGTATTTTGGGTAATAATTTATTCTTTTTCAGTTGGGATGTATATATGTTCCGACATCCATGGACAACTTTTCAATTGAGAATTAGACTATTTAGAACACGATTAATACTCCATTTTAGGTTAGAATATGCTTGGTCCATTTTCTGCAATGGGAACCTGCTTCTCACCTTCCCCCAATTCTTTGTCTTTTTTCATTATTGCAAGTTGCAACACCGCTTATTTTCTGTGTCTCACTGCCCAAAGTTACCCAGCTAGAACTGCCTCTTCTTCTGCACCTCTTGATAGTTGATACCAATTCCATTACATTTTTGGTCATTGTCGTCATGATCATTCTCACAAGAAAATCTGTGAAGATATGCAGCCACCTTAGCTGTCATACCTGGTCATTATTCTAGAGTGTGAGTTTTCGCAACCGCAGTTTGTATTATACCACTGCTGGTTGCTATGCAATCCATTCCAAATCTCACTATCTCAGTAGTTGCATACCTGGTCATATTTCTAGAGTGTTCCGTAGCCTCAGTATGTATTATATAGCTGCTGATTGCTATGCAATCCACTCCAAATCTCAGTAGTTGCATAAAAATTCCCCCCTTGTTTTATTGGAACCTTTAAATTTCTTATTCAACACCCTGGACAGCTCTGCCACATTTGTACTTGTTATTGTTTCTTATTATGTCATCCTTTAGGAAAGAGTGTGACTTTTTAAAGCTTATCATAGATGGAAACGTGTGAAAAAGACTGATAACTGTTTGTATACACATTAGAGGGGGCCATGGCAAGGCTGAGCAAGGAAGTGCATAAGGTTTGTGAAAAATAAGAACAGAAATATTTTCACTCCATGTATATTGGCTTTGTAAATGCATGGTTACCTCTTTAATATATAAGGAAGAGGTGAAGTTAGCAGTGAGTGAATTGTCTAACCTTCTGAAGGATTCTGTTCCTTGATGTTTCAGTCAAGCACTGGTATTTTAACTACATTTTATGAATTCCTTAATATGTTTAGGTAGACCGTAGACTTGATAAATGCAACACAATAGGGAACACACGAGTCAAGATGTTGCTTTTATTTGATTGTAACATTCTGAGGCATTAAAATATCTCCTGTCTGCCCTTGTCTATCACCTTATCAAACTCGTAGGTTTCACTTCTATGGCTAAATCAATCTCTATAGCTTGTTTTTGTACCACTGGCTAATTTGATAGAACTAACCTGGCAACTAATTTAAATGCTATATAATGGGTAATTGACCTAATAAACGGTACCAGAGAGCACCTTTTGCAGTGGAATGGATGTTTATCCACTGGAAAGACAATAATCTTGCTGATTTTTCATTTCTTTGTTTTATTTTTACCATTTTTTCCTAATCAATTTGATCCTTTGTATATTTGGCTTAAGTTAAATCTATTCGCCAAAAAATTAAGTTTTATATCCTTCAGGAGGCTCAAAGTGCAGTGGGATGCTCGTTGTCTCAATTGAGAAATGGGGATCCACCAGACCTTACTAACAAAAGTGGGGACATCAGAGAAGATATATTGGATATTTCATCTCACCAAGAAGTGGACCAACTTGAAATTAGTGGCAGTGGCTCATGTAGGCCTGCTAATGTGGAGAGTAGTAGTGTCAAGAAAGCTAGATCTATTCCGAGTGAAGCAAAAGTTATTGTAGAAATTGAGAAAGAAGCACAGAATTTGGAAACAAATGAATCGGATTCCAGCTCTAAGCGGGGGAAGAACCCTAATAATCAAGTGGACAATGTAGAGCACATCAAAGGAGGTTGGCTGGGAGAGGTGAGAGATGATGAAATGGTTGAAAGTGCACAGCATGAAGAGAGGCCACAAAGGAAAAGAAAGCGTACCATAATGAATGATAAACAAATAACTATTATAGAGAAGGCCCTCATTGTGGAACCTGAAATGCAGCGAAATAAAGCTTCTTTAGAATTCTGGGCTGATGAATTAAGTGTTCACGTATGTCACAAGAGCCTTTTATTTATTTTCCCTCTCTTTAAGTCAATAAGTTATACTCCTTCCCTAAAGAGTTCATACATCTTTTCCAGGGTTCTGAGGTTTCAAGATCCCAGCTTAAAAATTGGTAAGGAAGCAACTTCTTTTATCCTTTAGATTTTCCAATATAACGTAAGTTAACTATTTAGATTCACAGATAGGGTGGTGCCATGGTATTGTTTTCCATTGCTATCTCCTTAGTAGGAGAAGATATGCCTGATAATTGGGGTCAGACTGCTCGTACGTAAAAACTTGAAGCTAGTATCTTATCTCCCCACACTTTTCATTAACCAACCCTGAGTATCATATTTATCACTGCCCTCGAACATCGTGTTTCATATTTTAATGAGTTTAATATCGTCTTGATAAATTAAGAGTGTAATTTCTTGGTAGCTTGGCTTAAAGTAACATTGATGATAAATATGCTTCCCTCTTAACACAAAATTTGATAAATTAAGAGACTTCTTTCTTGGTACCTTGACTTCATGTTACATTCAGTTAGATAATAGTCATTTTAGGGCATTTACACTTCAGTGTCAGATAAGTGAAGTGAGAAGATGGACAATATCTTTCAACCTTGGGGATAGGAAATAGGTGAAATTCTTTAATGAGTTCTTATTTATTCTGGTTGTCCTTGAAATTTTTCTCATTGCGGAAATGATGGGGTGAAGGGCATTATTCTCTAGTATATATATATTTAATGATTCTATGGGCATCATTCGCAATTCTACTCAAAAAGGCATGCGTAATATCATTGATATTTAATTATTTATGTTAGATATGATATGTGGAATTCTGATTTTACCCAATGGAATGTGATGTTTGTTTCTATCTAGACCATATATACAATAATCAAGTCATTGACGATTCTACTAATTTGATAGTTTGAAGAAGTGTCTTCTCTTCATGCGAGTGTTGGTAACTTTTGTGTGGTTTTGACAGGCTGAATAACCGGAAAGCTAAGCTAGCTCGTGCTGTTAAGGATGGATGTATGTCATCTGAAGGAGACAATCCAGATAAGCATGGTGGTACTGTCGTTAGCCATACTTTTAATTCTCAAGGCAATTCCATTGAGGGTGTAAATGTCCTTTGCACAGAAAGAGGAAATGCCCAAAATACAATTGAAGATCCCACTGTGAGAGCTGCTGCTAATGGAAATCCAGGAACCTTAATTGAATCCTCCAAGTGCCAGCCAGGTCAATATGTTGTACTTGTAAATGACAAAAAGGAAGAGATTGGAAGAGGAAAGGTTTTTCAGGTCAGTGGTAAATGGTTTGGGAAGGATGTAGGGGAGCTGGGTACGTGTGTTGTGGACATTATTGAGCTTAAGGTTGAGAGGTTATCTTGGGTTCCATACCCATCTGAAGTCACAGGCACCTCGTTTGAACAGGCTGAAAGAAAATTTGGGTTCATGAGAGTCTTGTGGGATTCAACCAAACTATTTGTGTTGCCCCGGTGAATCACCACTCCTATGTATTGGAAGGGCACGCCAAAGTTGGTAAGTACATTTTTATAAAGAACAAGAATGATATATTATCAAGTATGGAAAATATGATTCGTATACGATCCTGAATCCATTCTATTTAAACATGAAATTATACAAAGGAAAGCAAATCGATTTGTTTCTGAATTACCTCTTCTTAATACTCTCCTCCATTTTCAATTAATGTAGTTTGCAAAGTAAACTGAAGCTGGGTCCAATGTTGTGGAGGGGAATGCTTGTTATACACAAAACCATTCCGGTGCAGACACTGCAAAACAGAGATTACTGCAAGCGTCTGAAGATTGCCGGAGGAAAATATGCAGAAAGAAAGCAGAAGACGAGTCATTTGGAGGGAGTCTTAGAAGCAGTTTACCAAGACGCTTGCTGGAGGAAAATATGCAGAAGAAATGCCAGACGTCTTCAACACAATGTTACTTCTGCAGGTGGCATTCTCAAAATACCCAAGGTTTTGGTTACACTAGACTCTGATCCTAGGAGCCTCTAGAGCGCATGGCTGCAGATTTCATGGAATCATGTAACTAATTTTTCTTTTTCTTTTTCTTTGTGCAAATTCATTGATGTCAAGAAGAATGTTTTTTTTTTTCCAGTACATAGACTAATGAAGTACAAATTTATTTTCTTCAAAAAAAAAAAAAGAGTACAAATTTATTGACCTTCCCAATACCACAATGCCGGCAGATTATTATTACTAATGTGTTTTACCAGTGAAGTTAGACACAGGCTCATCTTTCTGGATTGTAATCTTCTCAGCAAAGTTAAACAGTGAATTCGAGATTGAAACGTGTATTGAACCCAGGGAATTTTTGGCTTATGCTACTAGACTAGAAATGATCAAGCGAATGTTATCCCCGGTAGTTTGAGCCAAATCTGAATTAACTTTACAGTGATAAAGACAGATTGGATATGCAAATTCCTTTGTTGGAAAGTAGGCAGATAATTCAACTCCATTAAAAAAAGATGAAATTGCAGCAAGAATAGAGATGCGGGGGATCGAACCCCGTGCCTCTCACATGCGAAGCAAGCGCTCTACCATTTGAGCTACATCCCCAATTGCTTAGTTAGCTAGAACAACCATTTTTCATTAAGTTTGTATTAAAAAGTTCATCTAATTTTAGGTTGATCCGAGGATGTAGGAATATGCATGATAGAATTAGAGGGACAACCCCGATCCAGTTGGTATGGAAATTTGTTTGATAACCATCAGATTCTACGTTGGACTTCTTGAACAATCTAGGCACACTTGTCGTATGATAGTTGTAACTGTATGCAAGTATAATATGTTATTTTAGTCCTATAAACGCTTATATGTAATCTATAAATATTGCATAATTCTTGTAATATGTCATTCATTCCCTAGCAAATATACAATTTCATGGGTTGCATTCATTTTTTATCGATTTTGTCAGACTATAAGGTGTCCTGAGCAAGTCCTATCTATAGAAAACACTTTATTTTTTATTGGCTTTAATTTGCCTTATTTAATAGTATATCTTTATATTAGCATATAAAATAGGAGAAGCAAGAATATTACAAAAATATATGAAGTGTACACATTTGTCTTCTTCAAATAATAATACAGGTAGTGGACTAGTGGCTTACCCGACTTGCATGCAATTCTATATACTCACCTACTCATCAGATTAGAGAGCTAGGGCATTACGTATGAGATAATTGTGGCAGAAAGTTATTAATTTTCATTAATATTATATCAACATCACCAAAAAGTGGTCTTTTGTCTTGTTATGCCAGCTAAATGCCATCTCAAGATTCCCATTTGTTTTTCTTCTTCTTTAAAAAAAAAAAAAAAAAAAAAAAAAAAAAAAAAAAAAAAAACCCTTCAGGGAGTGGCCGGATTTGTGACTTTTCTTATGGAGCAATTAGGTAGTGTTAGATATTCCTATTTTCATATTATTGAAGCAATATGGACTCTCATTTGATGCAATTATAACTAAGTGGGGAATCTTGGATAATGAGCGAAAGCTCAATCTAAAAATATCTCATAAGTGAAGAAAGGAAATGTCGCTTGTAATGCTTTTTCGTTGAGTGCATGATCATGACAGGACTCAAGGAAGAAGCATCGACTAACTCCGTGTCAGCAACCGCGGTAAGATGGGGAAGGGGTGGGGGGTGGGGGGACAAGTGTTCTCCATAATGACTGGACGTAAATGACACGTAAAGTGAAAGTCGTTAAAAATTGGTGGAATGCTCTAGAAATCAATTCACTTGAGTGAGATAAACTGGTGGATGTACTATACATTCATAAAGACAAATGACAATAGTATTGAAGGAGCCAAGGAGGTACAACATTCCTACTTGCATTAAGGTTAATGTCTTAGAACCCACGAGAGGAATCCATCTCCTTCTTTTTAGTAATATTATAAGCATCGCTTGACCTAAATTCATTTATTGATTTCTTGTAATTCCTTTAAACTACAATGTATTCTTATATATATATGAAGTTAATTAATTATTTGAGATGCTTTAATCAGACTTACTGTACTATGTTTGACCTTGTGAATTCAAGCCACTTACGTGAGCCAAAAAGTGGTCTTTTGTCTTGTCCAACACAGCTCAAAAACTGATGTTGACTGCATCAATTATGTAAGGGATGATCATAGCAAGAAAAGAAAAAAAAAAAAAAAAAAGCATACCTTAAATAAATTAGAGAACAAAATTATGTATTTTGAAGATTTTTGATTGAATCATATGTTGCAAGCTTAGTATATATTTGATGAAGGTCCTTATTAGATTTTTGTTTGTCCTTAAGTAAGCATTTAATTTTTTTTTGAAAGGTAAGATTATTGCTCCCGACTCCGAAGTCTCGGTGAACGGCGATAATAACTATAACGGTCCTATGGTAGCAAAATTCTTAGTCGAGTAAGTTCTGACCTGCACAAAATGCGATCTGGGCACTGTTTCGGAGAGAGGCTCGGTGAAATAGACGTCTGTAAAGATGCGGACTACTTGCACTAGGACAGAAAGACCCTATGAAGTTTCACTGTTCCATGGGATTGGCTTTGGGCCCTTCCTAAGCAAGCTTAAGTGGAAGGCGAAGAAGGCCTCCTTCCGGAGGCTAAGCCATCAAGGAGATATCAACCTGGAAGAGGTAGAATTTCAATCTTGTGTCCGATGGGGCGTAAGCCTCCCAAAAGGTAACGAATAGAGTCATAGAGAACTAACTAGTCAAGTTTTCATTCTCGTAACACCAACTTTATCTTACTCTCTAAAAAAAAAATGATGGATTTAATTGGTGCAAACCTTCACAACATTCATTGATGACAAAAATGAAAGTACTAGGATGTCTGCAGGTTCTTGAAATTTACAAGTAAACAACAATCAAAATCTCTCGAAACCAATGTTTTAGCCTTCATTATCCCTTTCAGATTTGCTTTTGCCCCGTGAGCGATCAGATACAGAGCCACCGCTCTGTGGCCAACTTCCCCCGCCCGGTGCAGCGGCGCGTAGCCGGAAAAATCCACAGCATCAACCTCAGCCCCATGGCTCACCAACACCTTAACGCACTCCATTCTCCCCTTGAAGGCAGCACGGTGGAGAGCAGTCCACCCAATCTCATCTCTCCCGTTCACGTTAGCCCCCTCCGCCAAACACTTCTTCACCGCCGCCACATCGCCGGTCCGGGCGGCCCTCTGCAATTCCTCGCCGGAGCGCAGCGCGTCGTACAGGCTCGAGTGGTTTCTTTCACGTGCGAGATCGAATGGCGTCTTGTTCTGGTTCGTGACCATCTTCTTTGCGAACATTGAGGCGTGGCGTAAGAGGATTTCCACGGCGTTAACGTGGCCGTGATAGGAAGCGTGGTGGAGAGGCGTCCATTTGTCGCCGTCTTCAACGTCGGCATCGCAGCCGGCGAGAACAAGGAATTGGAGAGATTCAGAGTGGCCTTTAATGGCCGCAATGTGAAGAGCGGTCCGGTTGTTAACATCCCGGGAATTCAAATCCGTTTCCGGGTATCCCGACCGGAGGATTTCAATCAGGTCGACTCTGTTCATCGCCGCCGATTTGTGCAAAAATCGGTCGATTTTGTGGTCAATTTTATACCCAGAACTGATCAAGAACTCAACAATTCCAGCGTTTCCAGACTCAATAGCCAGGGACATGGCGGACACGCCGTTAAACTCCCGGCAATTCACATCCGCGCCGGCTTTAACCAGAGCAGAAACCGCCGTTAAGTCCCCCTTCCCGGCGGCGCATCTGAGCAAAGAATTCATCTGAGCTTTGGCTTCCCCGCAAAAAAACTTCACTGGGATCTTAGCATCCCTGAAAATATGCGGCCCCGGTCTTGAAAACACGCGGCGGAGATCGTCCTGGGTGGCTCTCCCGGCGGGAAACAAAACGGAGCGAACAAGAACGGAATCAAACGGGGAAGAAACACGAGGATTCGGAGTGAAGAAAACGGTGAAGGAAGCAGTGGATAAAGGCTTAAGAACAGCGAAAGAATGTGAGAAAGAGAAGAGAGAATTAGTGGAAGTAAGGCTCACAGCCACAGGGATGGCGTGCATAAGATTTGAGAGCTTGAAGGTGGCGGATGGGTTTTGGCCTGGAGTGAAGATGAGATTCAGTTCTGTAACGTCTGCTTTGACGAGTTTGTCCATGGCGATCAATGAATATAATCAAGTATTAATTCACACAAAGCTGTACTCTGAAATTAAATGGAGACGAAGATGGAGTTGGAGATAATATAATATACTACTCCGTATGATGAGGGTTATAACGATTGATTGATGGCTACTTTTGTTTTTTAATAATTATTTCATGGCTAATGTTGTATTATTAAGGTTAACAAACAATATAATATTTGCATATGGTTGAGTATTACTTCCTATATGATTTTAACTTTGATTTCAGGTGTTAACCCAGTCATATCCCAGTGAACAATCAGGAATCTAAGCACACGTGGCTACCAAGGCGTTGTTCCCGAGTCCACCGACTGCATGTGCGACACGTGTTAGTCATGTCGAGAGTCTGATATGTGTCCGCTTCCCATCGCTATAAATACTGTCGCATTCAATGCTAATGGCAGGGGCTTTTGGTTTCTTTCACCTGTTACATTATAGCTCGATACTCTTTGACCTTGTGCTGTTAACCGAGCTCAGGGTTTAGACCAACACGCTGACCAATTTAGAATTTTCTTACGATCCGACCCTAGTATTCATATGTATTAGTGAATATCTCCGTATTTACTATATCAATTAGCTGTGTAATCGCAAGATTTCAAGATTAAATTTTATGGGGTTGTATATTAGTTTTCTTAATTTGAGTCATTTAGCTTTGGACAACCTAGATTGGTTTAGTGTCGACTATGGTCACAACTCGCAAGGTGGGCTTCACTCAAACAATATCTTCGGGTAGTATCTATATGCTTTTTCATAAACCAAAGTCATTTTGAACGGTCAAAATAGACCAACTTTAATTTACAAGAAAGTCGAGTTGAAACTCGCTTTCCGATCTGAAACGACTAAGAGTCACAATGAATAAATCAACTTAGAACCCGCATAGGCTTAGCTCAATAATTTATTGGGCAATATTTATGAGAAGAATAAATCAACTTACATTGTATGTAGCTGACCATTATTATTGTGTGGATCATGGTCTATACAAATTGTGTGGACCATATTTTGTATACTATAAAATAATGTACATTCAGTACAAAAATAATATACATTCAATACAAAAATAATGTATATTGTATTCAGGAGATGTACGTTATTTTCGTATTGAGTGTATATTATATTGTATAATGTATATTCAGTACAAAAATAATATACATTCAATACAAAACTAATATACATTTTGTTATGGTCCACATAACACTGTGGATCATGGTCCATACAATAATTTGCCGAAATTGAGAATGTTAACTTGATATATATTGGTTGGCACGTGATGTACCAGATCGACCTGTTTTTAAACAGGTTACAAATTTGGGCTGAATTTATTCTTAGCCAACTTATAATAAGGAAACATATACCGCTAGTCCAATTGTATATATGTCTTGTATGGATACAATTTGGTCCATTCCACTAAATGTAGAAAAGCAGTTTGGGTTTACTATCCAATCTTTATTAAAGTAATAGGTCCAAATCCAATTTATTGTTTCATAGTTTAGAAATGAGGCAACTCATGCCCATTAGAAAGGGGATGTGTCCAAAATTGAAGTGGGCTACCATATACCCATAGCCATGCATGTATATCCAATACTTATGCTGTGGAACCGTGTGAGGCAATTTATATCCTACACCACGGCGCGCGTTGCACTATGCGTCCAGATGCAAAAGTTTAATTATTATTTTTTTTGAAATTTCCCGCCCCAGTGAATGGTAGTAGTTTTTTCTTTTAAAAAAACTCGCTGTTCAAGAATGTACATAATGTTATACTAGAATACACATAATGTTATACATGAATGTACATAATTATATAACAAAATATACATACTCTTTTTAAAAGATAATACACATAATCTAACATAATACATAATAAACATAAACTTTTAACATAATACACATCAACTCTTAACATAATACACACAAATTTTCTGATTCGGATGTACATAATTGTATAAAAAGAATGTACATAACTGTATAAAAAATACACATAACTGTATGAACCAATACACATAACGTTGTGAACAAATACACATAACGTTGTGAACAAATACACATAATCTCAGCAACTTCCTACCGCGCCTCCCAACACTACCCCAAAACGACGTCGTTTTGGGAGGTGCGCGGCGCACAGTGCTATGTGCGCCGTGGTGTAGGATATAACGATTGGTGTTCACCATGCGTATGGTGAACACGTGATACATTCATAATTTTTAAATTGTGGATTCATACTTTCTATATTGTAGATTCATAATATCTATACTGTAGATTCATAATTTCTATACCGTACTGTAGATTTATAATTTCTATACTGTAGATTCATAATTTCTGTACTGTAGATTCATAATATCTGTACTGCAAAGACAAAATAATACGATTGCGAAGAGATAAACGTCGTTAACAACAAATGAAAAATAAAAATTATGAATCTACAGCATATAAATTATTGATCTATCCCTGTGTTCACTATGCGCATGGTGAACACGTTTTCACAACATAATTTCAGTATATGTGCCCAATAGTAGAGGTTTTGTTGTTGGCTCTTCGCTCTTTTCTTTCTTTTTTTTTTTTAGATGATGAGGTTTTGTAGTTGGGTCTTCATTTGATGATGAGAAAAATTTATAATCACTATTTAAGAGTGTATACTTAATAAATCCTGTCGCAAGTGTTGTTTGGTTATACATATATGAAGGTTCACGTGCAAAAGAATTCCCAAGTGAAAATTGGGGTGAGATATGAGTTGTTGATCTAATTCTAGATCAACTGCCCATAATGAAGGAAAATTAAAAAAAAAAAAAAAAAAAAAAAAAAAAAAAAAACGCTTCCTGGAGTTATGCGCCCGTATCTTCATTTAGTTTTCAAAGTTATACATATTAAGCTCAATATTATGCACCAAAGGCAACAAAGTTATGCACCTAATGATTAAAATGTATGCACTCATAGGCTAAACTCTATGCACCCCAAGGTGCAAACTTATGCACCTTACAATGTAGATTTATGCACCTTACACTGCAAAGATAACATTTTTAAGTTATGCACCTTACCGTGCAAAGAATCAAATATAACGTTTTAAAGTTATGTACTTAACGACCTAAACTTATGCAGCTTAAGTTCTAAAGTTATGCACCCAACAGTCTAAACTTATACACTTTTAAGTTCTAAGTTATACAGTCAAAGAAGGAACAACATGTATTCGAAGAATAAATAATTTGCACCAAAAGAAGGAAACTATTAAAATAATGCACTCGAAGAAAAAAGTAAATATACACTAGAAGATAAACTTTGCAATTGAAGAGACAAAATATGCATTTGAAGAATGAATAATATGCACCCAAAGAAGTAACAACGAACAATATGCACCCAACGAAAAAAATAATAATGCACCCAAAGAAAAAAAAAAAAAAAAACTAAACTTACTTATACTAAATTATCATAATGTCATCATTTTTTTAAAAATTTTCTTCATTCTGGATGCTACATCTAAAAAATCCTTCGCACCTAATCTGTAGTAATATATATATAAAATCCGAATTGAGTATTTAATGAGTCTTTTATTATTAACTTGATAGTTTGTGATTTATCATTATATTGGTGCCTGGCCTATACATGAATATACATGATAATAGATGCCTATTAACTTTTTTGGTTTGTAATTTTTTTTTTTTTTTTATCGACTAAGACCACACTACCAGTTTCACCTAGAGCGTAATTTCAAATAGCGAAATTCTTGTAAATTAAAAAATACTTTTAATGAGAAAAAAATAAAAAATAAAAAGTACGTAGTATTTTATTCAATTGATGAGTGATTGGAATTTTTCACATGTGATATCATTAAAGTGGGGAAAAAGTAAAGTGATGTGAGGGTGAGTTGGGTGTAGAGCTAGCATGCTTCCCATGTAGACGTACTGATTAGTTGCAGAAGAAGTGATATATGATGTATATATGTGTGTATGTATATATGTATGTATCTATCTATCTATATCTACAACCACAGCACGGCGGTGGGTCGCTTTCTTGGGTGAATGAATGAAGCGGCTTCCGCCTCCGCTAAACCACGTCGCCGTCCGGTCAACATCACCACCGTACCCCCCCAACCATCACTTTTCAACAATATTATTTTGTTGTTGAGTAATGCTAATCAACACACTACCTACATCCATCATTACTATATTATGTTTTTCTTTCACTTTGTCATTACTCCCCGTTACAATTGCGTCCACACTTTTTGTGCCTTCAATATCTTTTGAGAATTGAGATTATTATTGTTTATTTGTACATTGTTTTGTATTTATGTGTGTGTGATGAGATAATGGATTTGGACCAATAAGTTAAATAAATTATCACGGTCCAATCTAGTTTAAGACATTTTAGTTTAATCAAGATGTGTTACAGTTTATGATTTACGAGAAAGTTTGTCATCTATCGCTACTTAAAGATATTTTGGATGATGAAACTCATTTTGTGATCCTAGTCGACCAAAAATCATAAGTAGTCCACAAGGACGCAAATTAACTTATATTGTCTATGACTGATCAGTTCAAATTAAGAAAGCCAATAAGAAACTCTTGTGAAGAGTTGAACTTAGAATATAATTTGTGGTTACTAGGCCAACTCAGTTAGAGGCTGCCATCAAAAGTGTCAATATAGTTATTGGGCTAAGAGATCGATGCGCTATGGGTCAGTACAGGGACGGAGCGCCAAAGGGGGACAGGGGGTCAGCTGCCCCCCCTCACCCCACCCCCACCCCACCCCATATATAATTTTTGTATGTATATATGTATATATAGTATATGTGTTAGTATTAGTAAAATAAAACTATTAAATATCAATAAGAGTTGATTTAGATGAGTTGTTTGAGTACATGTTGAGTTATGATAAAGGATAGAGGTTTGAATCTTGGTATTGACATATTTTTTTTTTTATAGTTGGCTTCAACAGTTTTTTTTTGACTCATTCCCTATGGTTTCAACACAGTCACGTTTTTAATAGCTGTTTAATATTTAATACACACACATATATATAACATTCTTTTATATTAATAATGAGATGTGTTTATTTTTTTTTTAAT